AAAGACTTGGACAGCTGGCCAACTAGTAGGGAGAGTTTAATTTTAGTTTAGGAACTTTAGTTTAGATGGGAATGAACAAGGGCAGTGTGTAAGAGATTTGAATATCTTTATTAAAGCTTCCTCACATCCAGAGATTAAGGCAAGTCAAGTTACTGAGGGAATGTGGGTTGCACTGAAGAGAAAAATGATAACAAAATTAACAAGAGCAGATGGAAAGGAGATGGGAATTCACATCTGTTTTCTTGGGAGAAGTGGGAAAGGAAGCATCTATTTGGAAAAATAAATGAAAAGGCATGACTGATTACAAGATGTTGAAACTGCAGACAGTCAGTTTGTGATGTCGTGAGGACATTGGTGTGAAGGTAAGTGCAGTGCTGTTGCAAATCTGTTTTCAGCTGAAAGGCTATATTTCTGCTTTTCAGATCAGGAACTTGTAAAGCTTAGCTGTGTAAAAAGGCAGGGTGGCTTTCAGCATGTAGGAAAAGCAGCTAAACTAGAAGCCGCACTGGAGACAGTTACAGGTAATGCTGAGAGTGCCTTTATGAGACATTCTGCAGAGGTAGATATATCAGAAAATTAAAGTGGTTCCTGAAGTCCTAGTTGAAACAGACCAAGACAGAAAGTGAAGCTTAACTGATGCATTCATCTGATACATGGGGAAGTAGGTAAATGACCTGGCTGTATCAATGGGCAGCAGTAATTCTCTCCACACTAGATTATAGTTGAAACGTACTTAAGAGTAGTTTAAGCTGCATTTGCATCTGCATAGTTTCATCCTGTCAGTTCAGTTACTCTTCTCTGAAGTGCTTTAAACAAATGTCTTAGTTATTGTTCTTATTTGCCAAATACACTTACATTTGCTCCATATTGTAGCTAGCTCTGGGCTTTCTGTGACTGTGAAATACTACCTTTGGAACAAAATTATATACCAAGATCCCAATTTCCATCCTTTAGAGGAAAGCAAAACCTAAAACAATTCTAGCTCACTAGAAACCAAGAACAACTGGAACAGAATATATGGTTTTCAGAATCTGTAGGCAGTTTGAAACAGTATCTTTGAATTTCACCTTCATGCTTACCTAGTACTAAGTCTTGAACTTAATTAAGAAGTAAGGGCATATAGAAGTTTGAAAGCATGGAAATAAAATAGTAGTAAAGAAAATGTAACCTTCATTTAGCCTGTGTTTAATTGGTAGAAAACAAAAGTTGCCTCAAATTTACCAGTGTTTGCATCAGCTTGTCATGATTTTGGAGATTATGTAAATTTTTTTTAGGCCAAATTTTTGCAGAGTATGTGTAAAACCTAGTATTCTCTCAGTTGAGACTGAATTAGCACCGAGCACATCCAGAGGAATACCAAGGGAAAAATGCAGAGTTGTTGCTATCTGTATGAATTTGCATAATCTCCAGTTCCATTGCACTGGAGAAGAGCACTACCCCTTCATTTTCCTACTGTTGTCTAAATTACAGTGGAACCCCCTCCTCCCCCGAAACATAGTGATGGGACTTTCCCTTATCCCTTGCAATAATGTAAAACCTACTTGGAGGGCAACGGACTCATTGGTTCTAAGGACCTCGTTAAGGCAATCATATTCACTATGGGATTTGATACAATCCACTCTCCGCTATACTACATCCTGGGGAGGCTAGATAAACACTTCATCTTTTGATATTTCTTTTAATTTTGCTTTATTTAAAGTATAATCTACATAATTAAGTATTTAAAAGTACTGTCTGTAAATTGCCAGTTTAAACTGTACTTTTCTGTGTGCCTGGAGTAGAAATTGGTCCTCCTGAGGAATACCTAAAGCAATAGCTACATTTTGTGCCTTACCAAGATAACCAGGAAACACAGTACAAAACTACAAACACAGTACTACTTTGACTTCTGAAATGAAGTTTTGCATTTTTTTAAATAATACTATAAACTATTGCATGTCTATGCAAATTGTTATTTTCTCCAGTATCCTCAACTCTTAGGAGTGTTTTTGTCTGTCCCTCTTTTTTTGTCCAAATAATTTTCTCATTTATGCCTCCGCCATTATGAACTATTATGAGCCTTTGTGCTGCTGCAATAATGGTGGTGATTGGGAGGGACTGAGAATAGAGAGATACTGATGAAAAAAGTGGAAGGAACTCCTGATGAAAGTTTGCAAATTGGAACAAACATTGCATGAGTTGAAGGTAGAAAGTCCTGGATAGTGGTGTACAGTGATAGACATTCTGGACGTGTTTCTATTGCTAGGTGTATCTCTGTTATTAGAGTGTGACTTTGGGGTGTCAGTGTAACGGGACAAATCATATGTTATATGGAACATTTGACTTCGGTAGTGGAGTTGGGTCTTGGGAGCACAGATCCATACCATAATTTGATCCATTCATCTTTGCTAGGACATAGACATGTTGATACCTCTTTTGAAGTATGTGTACGCAGTGCTAACTGGATTCAGCTACTGACTTTACAAACTCACTGTATGCCAGTGTCTAATGTTAGTAAGATCACAATTAAATTATCTTCTTAATACAGTCTTTTGTTTTATTAACAGTAATTCTTATTTTAAATAAAACCCGAATTTATACAATGTACGTTTTGTGGAACATTTGATTGCTAGAAGAATTTTGAGTATGGTGCATAACATACCCAGTCTTAAAGAACTGCTTGGAGGCTTGAATTGGCCTGTGCTGGCAGCCTTGCCCCTTTGCTGTGTTTAAATTCCTATTATGTGTCCTGTTGCGTAAGAGTAAATCAGGCTTTTGCCTTTTTCTAAAGTTGCTGTAAGTGAATGTATTAGTATACTTAATAGTATCCAATTTGAAAGATCAATTCTATAAACTTTTTGTATGTTGTATAGTGTTTTAATCTTTGCCTACATAAAATGAATTTTATATAGAACATGTGTATGCAAATTATTACAGGTAATAAAATTATTTCATAGGTGAGTCTCAGAAAATTACTTCATTTGGTAGGAAAGATAGTTTGGTGGCTAATGCAAAAGACTTGAAGTCACCACAGGGCTTTTCTAGGTCTTCATGTGAAAGACACTTGTTACGTTGCAGTCTGAAATTGTGAAGTTCTTACGGTAACAGTGAAGCTCAGTGTGCAGGTAACTTTGGACAAGCTTACCGCAGTAGTTCTGCTGGACGTTACCACATGCGTAAACAGTCAGCAAAAGTGAGTGTGCTAGCTGCTGGATTCCCACAGCTCAGAGCCTGTCATATTCATATGTAAACTTAATTTCTAGCATTGACTATTGCAGCCAAACTAGATAAGTAGTCTAGACTTCTGTTTCTGACCTGGAATTATCTTCCCAATGCAGTGGTTTCCTAGAGAATTATCTTAACTTTAGTTACGTCAGTGATGTAGTTTACAGCACAGTCCTGCAAATGGTTTTACATGTGCAAGTAAAAGGAAGGCAAACTGTAGTGTTGGGAAAGACTGGACCGAGACTTTATTAGCATCAAGCAAATTTCTGTGTGTAGCTACATCCTTTGTCTCTAAACAGACGAATGCTGGAGATGGTTTGGAAGGTAGACCGGGTAACTGTCACTCTTTACGTGTTGTATCATTAATTTCTTTCCTGATCTCTACTGGGACAGGATGCTGTTTATGATGTGACCCAGCATGGTTTTTCTTACGTTTTCTCATGCAATCTATGCAGCTTTTTCTTCATTATACAGATGATGGCTGATACACCGACTCCCAGAAAGAATTGGGAGTGGCCACAGTATTCAGTCAAGGTTTCAGTGTTTGAGTGAGGTTTGAGTTAATGATAAGAATCTACATGATAACTGAGTTTGTTCTGCAGAGAAAGCAGTCTCTTAAATACATTCAGAAAGACACACGGCTTTTAGTTTGAAGCTTCAACAAAAGAAAAAAAAAGAAATCGATGGCTTGCTTATTAGTTTGTGCTAGTGGCTAATGATTTTCACTGAAAAAAATACAAGTAAACTACTCTGCTGACCC